AAATTTCATGGTCTTCCAAGACATAATAGTTGTTTGGTTTTTTTAAAAAAAATAAACCCTTGATTTAATGGATCTCAGTTCAGCAGTCTTACCTTTAAGGGAAAATATCTGCTGGATCTGAAATTTATCCAAATTTCAAGCATTAATGGATTTCACCTGAATAAAGTGGTAGGCAGGATGATGAGGATATTAAGGATTTCTGCCTTTATCCCTCATTATTTCTTTCCCATCTTTCTCATGGAACAGACCAACAATGTTCTTGCTATTTTTTCTCTCTTCCTTTTAAATGACTTCCTATCCCCAGCCCTGTTTCTTATTATATTTGGCATTTCTCACCAATCTTATCATTCAAGTTTTGCTTTCCCTGTTTCACCTCTACAGGCTCAGGTAATCCGTTTCTATTTCTTCTTAGACATGATTCCCTACTTCCAATTCCTATAAAGCTCCTTTTTGCTTTCCTGCTTCTCAGAGGGCTTGAGGTTTGCCCATGAAAGCTTCTTTCAGCATTTCCCCTTTTATTGTGAATTGCATGTGCCTGTGTTTTCAAGATCTCATATCGAGGATCTCCCTTCTTGGCTTATTTATCCTAGGATGTTGAGCCAACGTGTGCTTCATCAGGAAAGGGAGGGAAAATGAAACAAGTGTTGTAATATTGTGACACAACCTTCACTTTTTTCCTCCATGCATCATGGCATTGCATGCATGTATATAAACCATGGAGTTTGCATCACATTATCGTGAATGAAAACCTCAGTATTTGGCAGATATCCTGCAGCCCATTTTTTTTCCAGTTCATTAAGTTTGACTTTCTTGAAATAATATCATGTGACCTCTTCTTCCTTAATTACTTTGAATTTCAACAAGCCTTGGTTTCTTTCCACCCAACATGCATAATAGTTTCACTCCATCAGTGACTGGTATTTTTTCTCTGTTAGTCAGAATTATATTGAGAACACCCAACCTTGTTTCTTCCACCTTTTGAAAAATTAGAGTATCAGTGAGATTGTTGGGCTTTCCACTTTCAGCTGAGTTGGCAATGTGGTGGGTTGTTCTAGACAAGAGGTGGGGAACAATGGCCCTTTTATGTCTTGTGGACTTCAACTCCCAGAATTTTTGAGCAAGCCATGCTGGCTCAGAAAATCTGGGAGTTAAAGTCCACAAGTCATAAGTCTGGGAGTTGAACCACAAGTCATAAAGAGGCTATTATTCCCTGCCTTTCCTCTAGACAGTTTTCATTTGTGTCCTCTACTTGGGTGGATGGCTTGTAGTAAACTGCTAATAATATTTCTTTAGTTCTGTTTCTACTTTTTTTTTTAGTTTTATCCCGGTACTTTTTGTTCTATATTAACATTCTCCAAATCCTGAGTTCTGATTGGTCCACGCGGACCACAACCCAATTGGTTAACTAAACGACTGTGATTGGCGCACTAAGAATCTACCGCGATTGGCCGAGCCGACCGTGGGAGATTCGAAGCGCTGTCATTGGCCGCCGAGCCACCGGCCGGCTGAATAAAGCCAAGCGGCTCGCAGGTCCTGGACAGAACTGTATATTCTTCAATAAAGAGCTGAATGTGCACTTTGAGTCTCGCGTCTCCATGCGGCCCGATCTACTCGGGACCGAGCGACCCGGACCCGATCTCCCAGACTTAACACTTTTGACAGAACTTTTATATTCAAGGGTGTGAGTTCAAAGGTTTGATGATGTCATATTGCTGTTGTTATTGTTTTACATGTAAATGTAAATTCTTTGGGTCTGTTTCTTTTGGGGGAAAATAATCTATCAATTCTACATTTTGATCATGATTCTCATCCCACTAATTTTCCAAGTTATCCTTTTGTTTGCAAGCTCTCTGTGTTTGTCATGTTCTGGTTTTTTTCATACTTCCTGTTTATTGTCCATAATTTCTGTATTAGCACACAGAAACTGGAGGATGAGAGTGAGAACATCACTGTTCATTGGACTTCTTACCACCACATTTTGAGGATTTCCAGCTATGTTTTATTTAGTTTATTTATTTTTCAAATTTTTGAATCTCCCTTTCCTGCCTCCTACCTTCTTAATTATCAGAATGAACCTAATGCTAATGCCTAATGATACCATTATAATTGTAATTATAATAATTGTAGCTTATTATACTATATATATATATAGCATAATATAAATATAATGCTAATTAACTTATGGCCTAATAAGCATTCTTAATGCTCAGTGCTTTTCTTTCTGAGTATATTCCTCTGATTTTCTTCTACTTCCAGTTTAGTTTGCAGTCTCCCTGATAAGATTCACAAGCTTAGTCTTTGTGGAGTGTATAGCCCCTGACTGGTGGGCAAAAAGGTAATTGATGGATATATAGATGATAGAGAAAGAGATGGAGAGAGATAGATTAGAGATAGATAGATAGAGATAGAGATAGAGATAGAGATAGAGATAGAGATAGAGATAGAGATAGAGAGATAGATAGATAGATAGATAGATAGATAGATAGAGAGAGAGAGAGAGAGAGTGAGTGAGTGAGTGAGTGAGTGAGTGAGTGAGTGAGTGAGTGAGTTTGGAATCTAAGAACACCAAGAAGGAGAAATTATGGAGAAGCACTATGAAAAAGCTATCCTTTCTAGGATTCATTTCCATTTATATATGCAAGCTAATTCTCTCTCTCTTTCCCTCCCTCCCCTCCCTCTCCCTTCCCCCTCTGTGTGTGTGTGTGTGTGTGTGTGTGTGTGTGTGTGTGTGTGTGTAAGAATCCACTTGCCTATCATTTTTAATATTGCATTTTTTGGAGGTTCTCTCATCCCCCTTTCCATATCATTCCAAAGAAACATGCCTTGTTATCTCCAGTAGTCATGCCTTTCTTACTCCAAGATGGCCACCCCGTGCTTCTCAGGTTACCTGCTGCCATCTGCCTTCAAGCCTCTCAGAAGGGAAGGGGGGATCCCTGTTGGCTTCCTTACTCAAGGAATCCCACAGATGAAATGGTTTTTTTATACTGTCACCTCCCATCTTCTCACTCAACCACGCTGGCTATCAGATCAGTTGTGTGCAAAAACAATGGAGAGAGGCAGAGAAGGGAATAAAGAAAACAATAATTTTTCCATTCAGCAAGGTAATACAGTAAAATATGGCTCCTTTTTAAAAAGATAAGTGTTTTCTCTGGGCTTGGGCAGAAGGATAAACAGCTGAGTTATCTGTAGTCTCTCTTTTATTTTCAGCCTGGGTTGTCGGGCTTAGTAAATTTTTAAGCAGCTGTCAAAGTGAATTTATTATAGAAGTGGTCTACATTCTTACGTAATCCAGAAGGGAAAAATCCCACTCAGTGATTTTATACTCCATCCTTTGTCTTTAGAACACTTTAAAAGCCTCCCCCACTTAAGATTCAAGAGCGCCATTAGTCAAAAATTTCAGCTCTGGAAACTCTGTACCTAGTCCTGACAGCTTAACTTCTGAGGTGCCTTAAATGGCTTCTAAAGTGATAGAGACATTCTTGCTGTAGATATTGATAGAAGAAACTGTTGAAATGCAGTGGTTTAGAAGATTGCAATTGGATTGAGAGAGACAGACAGACAGACAGACAGATAGACAGAGACAGACAGAGAGAAATAGAGAGAGACAGTAAGAGAGACAGAGAGAGACAGAAACACAGAGAGACAGAGAGACAGAGAGACAGACAGACAGATACAGAGACACAGAGAGAACTAGAGACAGACTGAGACTGAGACTGAGACTGAGACTGCGAGAGAGAATGACGCAAAGTAGATTTTCAGTTCTGTAGAAAAGGGGTCCCCAATCCTGTGTCCATGGCCCAGTACTGAGCCACAGCCCATTGAGAACTGGGCCAACAAGTGGCAGGCAAATGTATGAGTTCATGAAGCTTCATTTTCACAACTGGCCCATATACGAAACCATCGGTCGCAAAGCTGGAAGGGTTGGAGATCACTGCTGTGAAACACTGGTTAGTGACTCTGCCTGCTCCAAAAAAGATCCCATGTGGACTGAGATTTCTCTATGCAGATCAAGGGATCAGAAGATTAAAAGGATTGATTCATGGTTTCTTAGCACCTTGCTTCCATCTGAACAGAATGCCCCACCTTCACAGATCCTCTTCTCCGTAGGCCTTTCACATGCGCCGACCAAATTTCAGCAAAGCATCAATGTTTGTTTGATGGCGGGTCACAGAAAAATGAAGTTAAATAGTCACAGTAGATTTGTGTTTTTATATATGACAGTTTTGGTAATTACAGGTGAAACTCAAAAAATTAGAATATCGTGCAAAAGTTCATTTATTTCAGTAATGCAACTTAAAAGGTGAAACTAATATATGAGTTAGACTCATTACATGCAAAGCAAGATAGTTCAAGCCATGATTTGTCATAATTGTGATGATTATGGTTTACAGCTCATGAAAACCCCAAATCCACAATCTCAGAAAATTAGAATATTACATGCAAACAATAAAACAAGGATTGTACATAGAAAAATATCGGACCTCTGAAAAGTATAAACATGCATATGTACTCAGTACTTGGTTTGGGCCCCTTTTGCAGCAATTACTGCCTCAATGCGGCATGGAATGGAAGCTATCAGCCTGTGGCACTGCTGAAGTATTATGGAAGGCCAGGATGCTTCAATAGTGGCCTTCAGCTTTTCCGCATTGTTCGGTCTCATGTCTCTCATCTTTCTCTTGGCAATGCCCCATAGATTCTCTATGGGGTTCAGGTCAGGCGAGTTTGCTGGCCAATCAAGCACAGTAATCCCACGGTCATTGAACCAGGGTTTGGTGCTTTTGGCAGTGTGGGCAGGTGCCACATCCTGCTGGAAAATGAAGTCAGCAACCCCATAAAGCTCATCTGTGGAAGGAAACATGAAGTGCTCCAAAACCTCCTGGTAGACGGCTGCATTGACCCTGGACTTAATGAAGCACAGTAGACCAACACCAGCAGAAGACATGGCTCCCCAAATCAACACAGACTGTGGAAACTTCACACTGGACTTCAAGCATCTTGCAGTGTGTGCCTCTCCATTCTTTCTCCAGACTCTGGGTCCTTGGTTTCCAAATGAGATGCAAAAGTTGCTCTCATCAGAAAAGAGGACTTTGGACTACTGTGCAACAGACTAGTTCTGTTTTACTTTAGCCAGGGTAAGACACTTCTGACATTGTTTGTTGTTCAGGAGCGGCTTGACAAGAGGAATACGACATTTGTAGCCCATGTCCAGGATCCGTCTGTGTGTGGTGGCTCTTGATGCACTGACTCCAGCCTCAGTCCACTCCTTGTGAAAGTCCCCAACACTTTTGAATGGCCTTTTCCTGACAATCCTCTCCAGGCTGCGTTCATCCCTGCTACTTGTGCACCTTTTTCTTCCACACTTTTCCCTTCCACATAACTTTCTATTAATGTGCTTTGATACAGCACTTTGGGAACATCCAACTTCGTTTGCAATTACCTTTTGAGGCTTTCCCTCCTTGTGGAGGGTGTCAATGATGGTTTTCTGCACAACTGTCAGGTCAGCAGTCTTTCCCATGATTGTGATTCCTACTGAATCAGACTGAGAATCCATTTAAAGGCTCAGGAACCCTTTGCAGGTGTTATGGCTTAATTAGCTGATTAGAGTGGGACACTTTGAGCCTAGAACATTGAACCTTTTCACAATATTCTAATTTTCTAATTTTCTGAGATTGTGGATTTGGGGTTTTCATGAGCTGTAAGCCATAATCATCACAATTATGACAAATCACAGCTTGAACTATCTTGCTTTGCATGTAATGAGTCTATCACATATATTAGTTTCACCTTTTAAGTTGCATTACTGAAATAAATGAAGTTTTGCACGATATTCTAATTTTTTGAGTTTCACCTGTATATGGATGAGCTATCATCTTCCTGGCAACAATATGGATATGATTTATCATTGCCTTCTTCTGTTTTTTTTTTTTTTTTTTAATTTACAAATCTAGCTTCCAGCCCTGGGATTTGCCCTCATTCAAATATCAACAAATCTGAACCTCCTGAGGTTTTTGAAATTGGCCATGACCAGCTAGAATGAAGCTACCTCCTATTTGTGTGGATATCTATATAAAATTATTATTTATCAAATTTATGTACAGTAGCTGCCTATCTTACCATGAACAACTCTGGGCAATGTGCCACAAACAAATAAAACAGTAAGATATACAAATCGTCATTATAAAAATATTTTTAAAAATGTTTATTAAAATTTTAAAATATCATTAAAAATTAAAATTTCCATCTACAGGGCAAGGAGAGAGTAAATATGTCAACTATAATAGCGGAGCCATCTTAGGCTATTATAGGTAGTCCTTGACTTATCACCATTTGTTTAATGACTTCTTGAAGTAATGACAGCATTGGAAAAAAAGCAACTTACTCTGTTGTATATTAAACTACTGTTAATGTCTAAGTCTCTCTGTGTAGTGTATTGCTCCTGGCTTATCTCATAAACATTGCCAAATGCTCTGATAGAATATGCTTAACAGCAATATGATTTGCTTAACGACCATGGGAAAAAATCATATAATTAGGCATAGCCTACTTACTGACCTCATTGCTTAGTGACATGAAGTTGCAATCTCAATTAAGACTGTAAGTCAAGGACCCTTGGACCTTCCCAAGCCTGTTGACTTCACTTTCACTTGTTTTGTCTTTGAATACTGTATATTGTATATATCTCTCTCTCAGAAGAAAAACCACCACAGGTGCCAATGTAGTGAACACAAATATATAATATGCACACTATCCAGTCAATTGTTATTAGCAGTGAGGTATGTCAGTTTAGTGTGTGTTTATTCATAAGTTGATTTTGTTCTCTCTCTGCATTCAGCTTAGATATTTTTTAAAAAGTGTGAATGTTTAAATCTACCATGCAAAAATGCATTCTTAAATACACATTTTGATAAGCTTTTCTGAATGTATTTTTCTCACAAAGCATGCATTTCTGAATGTGTTTTCTCTCAAAATATGTCTAAAGTAGAAGCTGAAGCAAAAGCTGCCCTGAAAAATTCAGATAAGTCCAGAATTAATTGGTACATTCATCTTGAAGATGTCGATCAAGTCAGTTCACTGTGAAATGTTGAGTCAACAGAAACCTTGAATATCTCTAGTTATAAGTCCACCAAGGGGTTCCTGTTGCCAATTTCCATTTTGTGGAATGTTGGAGAGAGTAGATTTCATCAAATCTTTGGTCTGCCACTGTCTGCTCTGATTGAACAATGGGGCATTCCAAAGTTCATGGACTGGTCGGTTGTTCCCAGTCTACTCAATGGAGGATTCCAAATTGGAAAGACGCTAATTATCCTTCATTGATGGCTTGCCGTACTGGCCAGGGGAAGAAGAAATCATAGAAGGGAAGTCTGAAGTTAGCATTTTCCCAGCAGTTCAAAATGACAGAATTAATGATTTGATTCCATCTATCTATTATCTCAATGCCTGGTACAGCATATGGGTAGAAGGATACAGATGGTTAGCTATCCTGCTGCATTCAATAAGGAGACCATCTCAATTTGAGCAGAGCCACAGCATTGAACTGTTCAAATTTAAAGGCAGAAAAGGGGGATTCAGAGATATGTGGCCATGCACATGTCATCTGCCTGCAACTTCCTCAAGCAAACATGTTTTTCCTCCCCCCTGGATTGCACTGCAGCTGCCAATGAGAATACTTAAAGAAATTACAGATGCGGGGGGAGGGGGCATATGATTGTCCCCACTTGCTCCAAAGTACCTTTTGTTTTCAAATCCAAAGCTCTGCACTGTCTTTGTACTGAAAATCGGAAAGGCAGCACTTTACAACTTTGGACCCTACTGAGGTTTCTGTAAGTACAATAATTCTTACCTGGTACTAAGCTTCAAGATCAAACAAAAATATTTGCAAGAGTCAAGGTTTCCAAAGGGGATTTAACAGGTTGAGGCAAGATACAAGGTGCGCTGCTAAATCAGCATATACTACACTCCGAAAATGCTTAATGAAAGGCAATACTTAGCCTTTGTGTGAGATGAGCTGGAATTACCAGCCTGGTCCTGAGTCAATCAATCAATCAGAATAGAGCTGGAAGGGACCTTGGAGGTCTTCTAGTCTGACCCCCTGCTCAAGCAGGAGACCCTATACCATTTCGGACAGGTGTTTGTCCAGTCTCTTCTTAAAAACCTCCAGTGATGAAACATCCACAGCTTCTAGAGGCAAGCTGTTCCACTGGTTAATTGTCCTCACTGTTAGGAAGTTTCTCCTTAATTCCAGTTTGCTTCTTTCCTTGATTAGTATTGCTCCATTGCTTCTTGCCTTGCCTTCTGGTGCTTTGGAAAATAAGCTGACCTCCTCTTCTTAGTGGTAGCCCCTCAAATACTGGAGTACTGTTATCATGTCACCCCTAGTCCTTTTCACTTGATCGGACATATCTAATTCCTGCAACTGTTCTTCATATGTCTTTGTCACCGGGCCTTTATTCTGCTTACTTGCTCTTCTTTGCACTTTTTCCCCCACCAAGCCAGATACCTAGTACAACTGGTACCTAGTATACTAATCTATACTAGGTACCAGTTGTACTAGGAATCTGTGCACCTGTTCCTCCACTTGCTATACTGCATTTTCAGGGAGGGGTAGACAAGCTCTGATTTAGAGTTGAAATCTTCTCCCTTGCTGGAAGCTGGCCTCTGTATTTCATCTCTAAGAGGCTCACCCTTTTCCTTCTTTAAAGATGATTCACTAGCTAGAGACAGGGCAGGTGGCTTATGAAGTGTAGAATGAACAACGCAACACAGTTCTTCATACTTAGTCACTGTTGCCTTCTTGCCTCTGCTTTGCCTCACCACCTATAAGTAGTCCTAGACTTACAACCATCCGTACAGCGACAATTTAAAATTACAACTCAAAAGAGTGGCTAATGATTGGTCCTTGCCCTTATGACACAGCATCACCACAGTCACCTGACCAAAATTTGGGCATTTGCTGGCAACCAGCATGTATTTATGACAGCAGAAATGTCCTGGAGTCACGCGATAACCGTTTATGTCCTTTCCAGCTGATTCTGACAAGCAAAGTCACTGGGGAAGCCAGATTTGCTTAACAACACCATGATTCATTTAACAACTGCAGTGATTCTCTTAACAACGGTGGCAAAAAAAGGTCACAAAATCATGCAAGACTCCTTAACAATGGCCCTAGCAGAAATTCTGGTATTAGTGGTGCTCATAAGTCCAGGACTCTCTGTCCCACTAGAAACATCCACCTCCTGCTCCGATAGTTGGACCTGTCTTGAGAGAGAAAATCAATTTACTGCTGCTATTTACCAGATGCAAGAAGAGTATCCTCAAAGATGCAATTATTTGGGGGTAGAGTTTTTCTCATGGATTCGAAATGATCTTTTGAAATCCATATTAGAATGCCTGGATGCTGAAGATGAAAAGATTTCAACTATTTTATTAGATGTACTTAATGCTTAGATCTGATACACTGGAAACCAGAAGGAAGCAGTTGCCCACAATTTCATTCTCTTAAAATGAAAGAGAGGAACCAAATGCAATCATTTTTCCCTAATGATGTTTACAGGATTTATTTTATTTTTTTAAGTTACCTTCATCCACTGAGTATCTTGCTGCCAAAAGTTCCTTAACTATTTGATCAATGTTTTCTTCTTGGAACTGGAAATAATATCTTTGTTTTTCTTTTCTTTTTTGCTTTTACCATCTAGCTGGGTGCTCGAAGTAGTTTTGTTCTCTTTTAACATGGGGTGAATCCAAATGAAATCAGGTCAGTATCATCAATCCGTCTCCAACTGTCTTTTGTGTTTAGTTCAGCAGGTGGTATAAGTGAAGAGGAGAGAAAAGATTGATTTTTGCAAAGAGGAATGCATAATTTGATACATAACTCTGCTAATGAACTACAGATCTGCTTTAAACAGACAAGAGAATTGCTCCATCTAGCCTTGTGTTCTTGTACTTATTTTAAGAGGTTTTTGTTCGCCTTGTAATCTGTCATTTTACTAGATCAGTTGTATCTGGGATGTGTGAGAAATTTTTATATCAAAATATATTTTACTCGAGAATCAATGTCTCCACTAAATAGTTGACAGTCGAGCTGAAACTAAGCCAATTGAGTAAAAATAGCAAACAGGGAAATCTTTTCTTCAAACTTCCTCAAACCCCCAAGTAAGCTATCTAGACCTAATCCACATATCAAAGGATAAGGTCTGCAAACTCAATTAGAGTTAATTAAATTAGGTCTCCCAGTGGAACTGCATATTCACAAGCATAGACACCATAAGTGACCTACCTACACACACACACACACACACACACACAAAGTCCCTCAAATGTTACCCTAGAATCATCATGTAGATACTTCCACACTCAGGACAAACTCCCTATTTAACTATGCTGCTGTGCCCCATTTCTCTGCAGCTGCCCTGAAAGGAAAACTCCTTTTTTTTTAGGAATAAATATTTCTTCTTTCCTCACAGCTATTTAGATCTCGTTTTTATTTATTCTTGCACAACCCCAGCTCAAGGTAGAACCCCAAATTATTCTTCTGACAGATGTTATGTAGCAAAACCTTGGTAGATGTATGTGTTTACAAGTAACTTTTCTCAGCAGATGTTAGCTATGTGTAGACTTTACTTGATCCATGACACTAAACAAGGCTTAGTGCTCAGATAGGAGATTTCCAGGCTTTAAATTAAAATTGGAAAAATAAAACGGGAAGAAGGCGGAAGCAAACTACTGCAAACAGTTGAGCTCTCCTTGAGGGAGGCTTTATATTTAATGTAACTTATTGTTGTTGTTGTTGTTGCTGCCTATAGAGATTCTCAGTCATCCCGGTCATGGCTGTACCAAAAGTGCTTTTTCAAGAGGCAATTGGTCTTCCTGGTTTTTCCTTGAAGACGTTTCACGTCTCATCCAAGAAGCTTCTTCAGCTGTGACTGGATAGTGGGTGTTGTGTCCGGCGCAGGAAGGAAGCTCAGAGTCAGTGACAAGTTCAGCTCTTTATTGTGCTCCAGTACATGCTTAGCTTTAAGGGAAAAACCTGCGGCTTTTTATTCTCAAGCCGCGGCGGCCGCGACCAATGACATCGTTTCGAATCTCCCGCTCTTGGCTTGTCCAATCGCGGGAGATTCTTAACGGGCCAATCGGTGCGGCTCGCTCGGCCAATCCGGTCGCCGCGCGCTTTAGCCAATCACGGCGCGGGGTTTACAAGAATGCTAATTAACTATACAGAACACCCCTCCCCTCTTGGTTTGTTCCTACGTAACATAGTCCCGTAAGTAGGCGGGGCTCCGTACCTGCCTACTGGACTTGCGCAGGTCAGTTGTTCCTTGGTTTTCGACCTGCTCGGTCGGGGTTTTTGTTTCTCTTTGTCCATGGGATGGAATCGTCTGGAAGGTGTTGCCTGGCCTGTTGTTGCAGCTCCCTCCCGGTCTACCCGGGTTGGTCGAGCTGTGACTTTCGCCACTCCCGCCTGGTCTTTCCGGGCTGGTTGAGCTGGCCTGGCTGCTTCTCCCTGGTGAGGCTTCGAGTTGGCTGTTATCTGGTGAGTATTGCTGGTTATATTCTATCCTTCCTTGGCCCCCTGTATCTTCCCTCCCCCCTTGGTTTGTGTTAATGGGGTTGCCTGTGTTTGCTTGCGTGTCGGTTGTGTTTCTTGCCCTTGATCTTAATTGATCGATGTGGCGTTTCCACACTTGTCCGTCCGTTGTCTGCAGTCTGTATGAGCGGGGGCCTGTTTGTTGGGTTATGGTTGCCGGTATCCATAGTGGGTCTCCGGTAAGGTTTTTTGCATAGATTGCATCGCCCGGTGTAAATGCCCGGTGTTTGCTCGATGAGTCTGGGGGTTTTTCCGGGTTGTATGTGGGGTGCAGTCTGTCAAGTGGGGACCTTAGTTTCCTCCCCATTAATAATTCTGCCGGGCTTTTGTTTGTTGTCGTATTTGGGGTTATATGTTGTATTAGGAGCATTTTATTTATTTTTTCTTGTATGTCCCCGTGTTCGATTTTCTGGATGGTTTTTTTGTAAATTGAACCATCCGTTCCGCCCTACCATTGGCCGCCGGATGAGCCGTCGCTGTCAGTGCGTGTCGAATGCCCCGTTCCGCTAGGAATTTTTCGAATTCCAGCGAGGTGAATTGGGGCCCGTTGTCTGACACGATGACATCCGGGAGACCGTGGGTCGCGAACAGTTTGTTGAGTACCCTGGTGACAGCTTCAGTTGTGGTGGTTTTCATGTTGCTTACCTCCAGCCAATTGGAGTAAGCATCCACCGTGACGAGGAATGTGTTTCCTCTTGTGGGACCGGCAAAGTCTATATGTATTCTAGACCAAGGTCCCCTGGGGGTCTCCCATTCTAGTATTGGTGCGGCAGGGGGGTTTGGTCTGGTCTCTTGGCAGCGTGAGCACCTGGCCACCCAACCCTCAATATCCTTATCTATGCCTGGCCACCAAGCGTAGCTTCTGGCCAAGGCTTTTGTTCGTACGATGCCCGGGTGCCCTTCATGTAAAAGTTTTAATACTTTCCCTTGCAGCTTTTCTGGTACGACCACCCTGTCCCCCCATAACAAACAACCTTTCTGCAAAGACAGTTCTGTTTGCCGGTTTCTGAATGTCCTGAATGATTCGTCGTTGTCTTTTTCCGGCCACCCTTTTTCTACCCAATGCAATACCCGCGCCAGTTTGTCTTTATTAGTTTCTCGGGCAATGTCTGACGCGGTTATGGGTAGATCGGGTAACGCCTCTATGCTGAGGGTGGTCGTTGTGGGTGCTGGGTCGTCCTCGAGGTCGGGTAATGGTGAGCGGCTCAGTGCGTCTGCATGGGTGATTGTCTTACCGGGGCGGTGTGTTAGCCGGTAGTCGTAGGCGGCGAGGAATTCGGACCACCTTGTCATCCTGGGGGATAGGATGTTCGGTGTAGCCTTATTTCCCACCAGGATTCCTAGCAACGGCTTGTGGTCTGTGATAATTGTGAATCGGCGGCCGTAAAGGTACTCGTGGAATTTCTTTACGGCCGCAACGATGGCAAGGGCTTCCTTGTCCAGTTGGCTGTAGTTCCTTTCTGGCTTGCTAAGTGTTCTTGAGAAAAAGGCAATGGGTGCTTCTCTCCCGTCCGTTAGGGCATGGCTGAGGACGGCACCTACGCCAAGAGGTGAGGCGTCGCATGTGATGGCGAGGGGTAGAGTCTCGTTGTACTGTATGAGGACGGCATCCGAGGTTAACAGGTCTTTTGTTTTCCTGAATGCGGCGTCCTCACGTGTCCCCCAGGTCCATTTTGCTGTTTTGTCGAGGAGCCTATGCAAAGGCTCCGCCACGGTCGCCTTTTGGGGTAAGAATACATTATAAAAATTGAGCAGTCCCAGAAATGCCTGTAACTCTGTTTTGTTTTTTTGGATTCGGGGCTTCCTTGATGGCTTTTACTTTGTTTCCGGTCGGGTGGATGCCATGTCGGTCTAGGAGGTACCCCAGGAACTCAACTTGCTCTGTGTAAAGCTGGCATTTTTCCCTTTTCACTTTTAAACCGGCTCTCTTGAATTTCTCAAGTACCTCCCTTAGGCGACCCTCTAGTTCTTCCCGGTTGGCTGCTGATACTAGTACGTCATCGAAATAAGGGACCACCCCTTTTATTCCTTGTAGGAGTCTCTCCATGAGGCTTTGGAAAATCCCCGGGGCCACGCTGACTCCAAACTGGAGTCGGTTACAACGAAATGCCCCCCGGTGGGTGACAATAGTCTGTGCCTCGGCAGTTTCTTCGTCGACCGGCAGTTGCTGATAGGCTTGTGCCAGGTCGAGCTTCGCGAAGACTTTGCCCCCCCCCCCCCCCCCCC